GCCTCCTCTTAAAATTAGGAATATGGTCTCCAAAAATGTTAATGAGGAAAAATCTACGGAAATGATTTTATTAGACATTAAAGCAGCTTTTACTCTGTTTGGCACAACGGACTTTTTCATAAATTCATAGAACTCATTAAAAAATTCAAATTTTTTTTTTTTGGAAGATCTGATGAGGTGTATGTCGGAACTACTTCTTCTGAAGTATTGTATACAAATGAAGGATGTCCCTAAAGATCTTGTTTATCGTATATTTTTACATCTGACCATACCATTGCGCCTATATACAGTGTCACGTACAACAAAATCTTAGCTGTGTGATATAGACTTATACTGGTAAAACTACCCCAATATCCATGGTCATTTAGTTTAGACTGATATTTTTTTCGATAATTTTTGTTGTTGTTCTACTCAAACAACTGATTTGATATATCAAATGTCATTACAAATTGATATTTCCTCACATAATGTAAAAATATGCCGGTTTTCTTCCCCGAAGCCATTCGATGTCAAAGGTGTCCTTCAAGTGCATTACTAACTTTTGAATTTGTATTTTGAATTTTTGTTTATTTTTATAAATATTTATCGATATCTAGTTATTCCAGCAGTTTCTGGGCCATTCGCCTCTATTATTTCTATACGGGGGTAGTGCCCTTAAATAAATTAACTACGATGGGAAAAAGAAGCAAAAATAATAAAGTTACGGTGCAGGCAGTCAATAACCCAGTACCGGCGGTTGGTGAGATCACAAGCCACGTGTCGTCGAGATCAAGCGATTGTGATCCGGCTGTTCTAGGTGTGGATGCCTTGGCACCTACAGCTGTACCTGCTACAAGTGCAGCAATTCTAAGCCAAAACGTTGACGAACCGGATACTCCTTTGACAAACGAGCATTGCAAGACTGATGAAAATCAGTCTTTGGCTGACAGGACTGTAGTTCTGGGAGGGGACGACCTACATGGGACTATACGCGCTATCCGCGATAGTCTAGAGGAACAAAGCAAGGAACTCTTCGACCAATTAGACAGACTTGTACCGGAAGAGCAATGTGGGGACACGCTTCCGGAGGAACTGCTATTAAATCTTACCCTAACTGATGATGAGCTGGACACCACGGTGATCCCAGCCAAGTCTACACAGGGGGATTGCCATAGTAGTAACGAAGGAAGTGTGGACCCCATTGTCCGACCGACCTCCAGTCTGACTCCAACAGGTCCTGTGTCGGCACCAGCCGACAAACTTCAGAAGCAATCTGCAACAGAGGTGATGTCCGACGATGGGGAATCTGTTGATCCCCCAGAAACGGAAAAGGCTCAAAGGTTGGGAAGGCCCGAGATGTGACCGATGCGAAGCATTACAAACTTGCTGTTTCGTCTCTTCGCAAATTCGTGGGGCGAGACGCGAATTTGATCGCGGAGAGGGAGGTTCACCTCATCAAGGGTAAGATGAGATATGTGAGGAAATTCGAGAGAATTTATCCTCACGCTCTCCATCGAGAACTCGAGATGGACAAGATCTCCCTCCCGAATCTCACTGCTCGCACAAAAGTAGTAGAATCGGCGAAGCCCACTGTCTCTGACAAAGGTGCTAAGCCGACTTCTGACCTGAAGCCCAGTTCTAACCCGAACCCGTGTAAAAATGCACATGAAAAGGCAATTGAGAGTATCCCAAAGCAAATTGTCACCCATAAGGGTGATCAACGTGCTGAGGGCTCTGTCTCAAAGCCCGATTCTGCGCCTAACGACAAGGGTGAAGCAAAAGCTCTGGGTGGATCCAAATGTGGTCGAAACAGGAAGAAGGGGAAGTCAGTAAAGGAACCATCGTCTCCTGGAGGAGCAGTACAAATCTGTGAAGCGCCTCCGCTCTTCAGAAGTTCCGCAACCCTCACCCAAGAAGACGATGACTTCTCGTCTGGTAAATCCTTTTACCTCGTATGCGGCTTGCGTTGGACAACAAACTGCGGAGAAACGTCTAAGTACGGAGAAGGCTTCAACCTCCTCTGGAAAGGCGACCTTCAAGGTTCGTAGTCAACGACAGCATAAGCCGTATGATAGACCAACCAAGGTAGCCGCTGAAGAAGACATTCTTGTGGCGATCATAGACAAAGCTGATCCTCAGGGCAGAATCAGTGAGAGTCATTGGTTGCTATTTGAAAGAGCTCTTCGGTCGGCTATCGTCTGTGGGACGGACCAAGGGGATCGACAGTTTGGTAGAGCCTTCATGCATGCATGCCAAAGTCATTAACTGTTTAAACAAGAAATCCAAGGATTTCCTTGTGGAAACCTTTAGTGGCTTTGGCGCGCTCTGGGAAGGAGCAAACTTTGCGGCGATTTCCCTAGCAGAAATCCCAACAAGACGGTTCCTTTCAGCCTGGGTCCCCCACCTTCAGTGGACAAGGAGCTCCTGCTGAAAATGCTGGCGCTACAAAACCCCAGCCTCACTACATCGAGCTGGACTGTGGTCAGTCTTACTCCCTGTAACGAGGATGGTGGCGAGTGTTGCGGTTGACCCACCAGGGGAGGAGTATCTCAGGAAGCGTGAGGGGAAAATGAACTTCGGTTCATGATGGGTTCGGTTTCGACTGAACACATCCACCGAAACTTAGTTAGTGGGGAAGCAGCATAGGCTGCGCATAATGCAGATCAATCTGCGTCATTTCAAGGCCGCAGCCGCCGAACTACTCCTGTCCCTCACGAACTCGGAAGTGGGCATTGCCTTAGTTCAGGACCCATATATTTATAAAAATATGGTTTCTGGACTAAGGAATGACAACTTCGACATTTTCGCCGCGTCCATGGGGGACAAGGTGAGCACATATATACTAGGTAAGAAGAGCTTAAATCTAATCTTTCTATCTAATTACAGCAATGGTGACATGTGCACCGTAAGGCTGGAGCATACGATGGGAAGGCCACCCTGCTCTCCTCAGTCTATATGCCCTTTGAGGAGATGGATCCACCAGGCACCTGTGTACGAAAAATGCTCGATGAAATGACGAGCACCTGCAATGTTATCATGGACACAAACAAACGAGGTGAGTCCGTTTTTCGATTTCATTTTATCCTATAATTTACGCATATGTAATAGGGGTAGTGATCCGACTTTTAAAGTTAGGGATAAAGAGGAGGTCATTGACTTAACCCTCTCAAATCTAGATGACTCCGTCATCAAAAATTGGAGGGTAGCTGATGAATGTTCCTTCTCGGATCATTTAAAGATTCTCTTCGAGTACTCTTTTGACGGAGATAGACAACAGCCTTATCGGAATCCAAGGAGAACAAACTGGAAGAAATTCACGGAGCTAACGAACTCCCAGCTGACTCTTAACACAAACTTAGGAACAGCTGTGGAACTCAATGGGGCCGTGAAAAATCTAACAGATGTCCTCCATAGTTGCCATAAGGAATCATGTCCGCTCACATATCATGTCCGCTCACATCTCGGCCAGTGTGATGGAACACTTGGTGAGCTCAGAAAAGCGACCAGACGACTGTATAACAGGGCGCATAAGTCGAAACTCGACACTGATTAGAACTCCTATAGAGCTAGTTTCAACAAATACAAGAGTGAGATAAAACGCGCGAAGAAAAAGTCATGGGTTAATTTCTGTGAGTCGATAGAAGGAGTCAACGACACTGCTAGGTTTCGAAAACTACTATCCAAGGACCCGAAGTCCATCGGTAGTATTAACCCTTTCAGTGTTTTTGTCGAATATATTCGACATTTAAAAGTACTCTCTTTCTTTGCGATTTTTCGGTTATACTATGTACCGTTACTATTGATGTTTTTGTTTTTGCTGTAAGACAGACGAAACTGGCCGAGGGTTAAAATGACAATTGATATTTTTTCTAAACTATGTCCCTTTATATGATTATAAATGCAAAATTTTAGATTTTTATTCCGACAACAATTTTTTTGACACTGAAGCAAGATGGAGCGTGGACGGACTCAGGTTCTGAGACTCTAAATCTCCTAGCCGAGGCTCATTTCCCAGGTTGCAAAGACATGGGTACCATCGACGGTGAACGTGATGACACTCAGCCTTTTGCCACTCCGGATCTGGATCTCATTAGCAAGGTGGTTAACAGTAATAAGATACGATGGGCGGTCTACACATTCAAACCGTATAAATCGCCAGGACCAGATGGAATTCTACCGGCGATGCTTCATGCCTCGCCAAGTATATATCTGATCCTTGAGAAGATCTATACTGCGTGTTTGACTCTCGTATGTTCCGGATCTATGGAACGAGGTAAAGGTTACTTACATTCCTAAAGCAGGGCAACCAAGCCACTCTGCACCAAACGACTATAGACCCATTAGCTTATCATCCTTTCTCCTCAAGACTCTCGAAAGACTGATCGACCTGGAGATTAGGAGTCGTATAGACACCACCTCTCTTAGCAACTCAGAACACGCATACATAAAGGGCAAGTCAGTGGAATCTGCACTGTACGAAGTGGTAGGCTATATTGAGAGTAACATGGAAAATTTAAATTTTATGCTGGCCGCCTTCTTAGATATAGATGGAGCCTTTAACAACGTTAAACTTGAATCCATAAACCACTCACTTAAAGAAGTTGGCATTCCTGAGGAGGGAGGCGCACAATCCTGGACTGTCAACTACGATGGAATAGGAACGTTGAGGAACGGGCGAAGACAGCGATGATTGCACTCTATACATACAAGTACGCCATTGGGAAAAGCTGGGGGCTAAAAACTAAGCGACTATATATCACCAATCCTTAGATTTGACGTAGATGTGGTTATTCCTAGTAGAGACGACTGGAAACGAAGTAACCCTCCTCTGGACGGTCTGGCCTTCTATACAGACGGATCCAAGATGGAAGAAGATACTGGGGCAGGCGTCTACTGTGAAAGGTTAGACCTTGAGTTAACCTACAAGCTGGATTGCAACGGTAGTGTTTTCCAAGCTGAAATCTTCGCGATCTGGAAGGCAGCGGAATTGATAAAAAGTCTGGATGCTGAGGTCGTTGAACCGGTGACTATCTTTGTGGATAGTCAAGCGGCTCTTAAAGCCATCAAATCTTGTTACATCAAATCCGAAGCCGTCCTCAAGTGTAGAGCAGCTCTGGAAGAACTTAACCATAGCTATCGGTTGTGTTGGGTACCAGGACATTGTGACATCTTGGGTAATGAAAGAGTGGACGTACTAGATAGACGAGGATCTCAATCCACCGATCTAGAAACTGATGACTCAATCAAACCACCCATATGTATTTTCTATAGGAATTTTGAGGCATTCTTTGACGAAATTGCCTATGAACTTTGGCACAACGAACCTAGATGCAACGTGTCAAGATCCACTTGGCCGACTCTGTCTACCAAAAGAACGCACTCACTGTTGAACCTGAGCAAAGCTGAAATTAGAGTGATGACGGCAATCATCACTGGTCACTGCAACATCAGGGCTTTTACTAGTAAATGGGATCTTGATGCAATTGATTACTGTAGACTCTGTGTTGACGAGGAGGAGGCGGAGACAATCGAGCATATCCTGTGTCACTGCCCAGCCCTGGCTTACAGGCGACACTGACTAATGGGTACTAATTTTCTACCGGATCTCAGCTTCTTCTCATCAAGCGAACCTGCTCTAATCTACAGCATAATTAGAAACATAAACTGGTTAGGAGCATATAACCTTGTAACACTTTTTCTGCCTCATAGGGCCATCGACCTTCACTCATTCTTCACTCCTTTAATTTACTAGGTCTCTTCTGTCTTCTTGGTCTATCTCTTCTTGTGGATGATCACAACGGACCTAACCGGTCTCAGAGTGTTGCAGTCACATATGTGACTGCACATCCCCAAACCTAACCTAACCTAAGCCTATTATACATGTATTTTAAGATAATATCTATGCAAATTAGTACACTTCAATAAAATAAAAATTATATAAAAATCTAAATATGAATGGCCCCCAATCATACGAATAGTGCAAGAATTAGCAAAGAGCTCCCTATATCAGTCAGATATAACTTAACTTTTTCTTTTGAAAAAGATTTATCAGACTTAATTTGTTAACACCAAGTATTTTTTTTTTTGTATATATTTCATAACATCAACGACATTTCATTTTAAAAATCCAGGATGTGCTAATTACGTGTCCCCCTCAAATTTGATTTATTTCGTAAATACCGTTATATATCACAAATTTCCGGGGATAATTTTCTGTTCTCACACTCAATCGATAAAGTACAGTACACATAAGCGTCTTCAATAAAAAAAAAAACTATTTAAAAATATTTTAAACGATTCGAGGGGTAATCAAAACACTTTTCCCTTCAGATGTGTGCTAATTACGTGACCGGCACTATATATATAAATAGTGGACAAACTAAAATCACCATGTTAATTAAAAAATGATTCATTTCCCTACAGAGACAAGGATGAAAACAACAAGTAACAATATTAGCATACCGTGCTGTCCTATCGGTTGTTTGATAATCGGTAGAACAGCACGGTATTTACAGTAGTAATATATTTGCTATCTTTTATGTAATTTTTTTGTAGTCAGCTTATTTCATTTTAAGATTTCGATATAATGATTTTTAAGATGTTTATAATTAATTACTTGTCTTTAACGCACATTTTTCACGTAATGTTTTAGGTGAGATTGTCAGCGATGGTGCTTTTATAAGAAAATTTTGCTCTAACGGTGATACTATTAATATCGGGTTTTTCAATGCTCAATTTCTTAATCCTAGCACCACTTCGATAAAATTTGATGAAGTTAAAAATGTTTTAAAATCTAACTTGTTACATATTGTGGGTGTGGTTGAAACTTGGTTCAAATCCCATATTACCAACAAAGCTGTTCAAGTACCGGGATATAAGATATTTCGTAATGATCGCGTAGGTCGTCGTGGAGGAGGCGTCGCATTATATATTTCTTCGCCTGTGAAAACTTAAATTGTTTCAAAGATATCAAAACCTGGTGTTTGTGAAGCTCTGTTTCTTCATGTAAGTTCAGGTACATCTAGCTTGATCATTGGTGTTGTATACTTGCCCACTGGCGATATTAATTCTTTGGAAACGTACAAGCTACGTACAATCAATGAAAGGCGATATGTAACATTTCGTGATTACAATTCAATAATTTGTGATAACTTAATATCTGACATAAATTCTATTAACTTCTCTTTTTTTTTACAATACGAACAGTTCTGATTTGCAACTAAACTATTTAAATAACACTTTGCAATATCTTTTTGAAACTCATGTACCTGAAAAAACTAGATTAATTAGAACAAATTCAAATCGATGGTTCAGTCGGCCAGAAGTTCTTTCTGCTATCAGAAATAGGGACTTAGCTTTTAGTGCCTTTATTGAGAATTCTACTGTTTACAATAAACAGGTGTATAAGAAATATAAAAATATTGCTCGTAAAGTTGTTCGACAAGTCAAGTGTCAATTTGGTAAAAGTATATTTAGTGGTATTGATAATCCTAGACCACAAAGTGTCTAGGATTTCTGATTGTGGAGCGACAAACTGTGATAGCAATAACTGTGATATAGATTTAGATCATTTAAATATTTTTCTTTACCTCCAATAATGGTGCTAATATTACTATTTCTGATAACACTTCTATGACTATGCCTCGTTCTAATATTTTAAATTTTCGCAATGTCGACATATTCCGTTACGTTTCCTTAAGCTTGTGTTTCCTTATTTGCAACACCATTTTTTACATCTTTTTAACACGATTATTACAACTAGTACATTTCCGTCTGCTTGGAAGCTAGCCAAAGTGCATCCTTTACTGGAAAAAGGCGCTACTGGATTAAAATGTGCCGATTATCGCCCAATCTCAATTCTACCAGCACTGTCAAAGGTTCTCGAAGTTTTGCTCAAAACTCAAATTTGGGAACACCTGGATGAATATTCTTTGGTTAATGTCTGTCAGGTTTTAGAAAACATCACAGCACAACCTCATTAATGCTTCGACTAACTGATGACATTCGTCGCTCGGTTGATAAAAAGTTTCCCAGTATATTAGGCATTTTAGACCTTTCTAAAGCTTTTGATTCCATCAATCACTGCATTCTCCCCTCCAAGCTATTTAATCTTTTTAATTTTTCTCTACCATCTTGCAAGCTTGTGTCTCCACTCCTCTCCAACCGCTCTCAAAAAATTGTATACGACGGTAATTCTTCTTGCGTTTGCGATATTTCGTCAGGTGTTCCACAGGGCTCAATTTTAGGTCCACACCTTTTTATCTTATACGTTAATGATGTTTGTGAATGTGTTCAGCATTCTTCTTTGAATATATATGCGGACGATTTCGGGTTGTTTATGTCTAGTCCATGTCTTGACATAAATGGTTGCATTTCTGCACTTGATAGAGGTATTTGTCGAATTTGCAGATGGGCTTCACTAAACTGTATTAATATCAATGTTGACAAAACAAAGTTAATTATTTTCCAAAGTGGTCGTGATTTACCCATTCAGCGAAGTATACCCGTGCAGGGGAAATCAATTAATTCTTTGCAGTCTGTGACTTGTCTTGGCTTTGATATTGATTGTAATCTAAAGTCTTCATCCCATATTACGAATATTTGCTCAAAAGTTAATTTTTGCCTCAAGAGATTGTACAATGTAAAATTAAATTGATGCAATATTTTTGTTCTTTGGAATAAAAGAATTATATATCTGACTCGCTTACAGCATAGAGTTGATATCTCACAAATTAGCATTACGGTTTGTTAAGCATATATGTAAGAATTGGAAATATGTGCGTTAGGGAATTTTTAGTTTGTAATTTTATAATTTTATAAGATACTTTATTATACGCCTTCTATCAATTTGTAACCCAATGAGGAGTTTTTTTGATTAATAAATTGAATTAAATATATTAGTATATCGTCACCATAAATGCAAACGGACGAAACTACACTTTTACTCAATCCAAGGGCGGCCGGTTTTATGCACCGGATTGACTCGGAGGAATTCTTCTTCGACCAGGGGCTGCCACATCAACTACTACATGTTTGTGCCGTATTTTTTACATGGGAGAGGCATTATATCCCGGGATGCTGCTCCGAACTCGGAGGTGGGGGACTTGCGTTCTTGTTACACCATTCTGTACAATACAGACCTATCTCGCCTGAGCTAGACTCTAGTGACCCATACATGGAGTGTATGGGGGTAGCAGTCAAGAGTGGTACTGCCGAGATAGAGGTGCTTGACGTGTATATCTCGCCGTTAAATAGCTGTACTCCGCGTTATTTACCCGACGTTAGTTTACTTTTGTCGGATAAATTGAAATCCCCTAGCACCAGACGAATTTCCCAAAAATTTGGGTGTAACGTTCGAGAGCTTAAGTCGTCCACGCAAGCCACCACTATTTGCGATAAGATGAGAAGCAGGAAAAAGGTCCTCACGTCGCTTGCCGGCAGCTCTTGGGGTGCTGATAAAGAGACCTCCTACAAAGCAATAGGTCGGTCGGTGGTAGGCTATGCGGCGTTGTTCGCGAATGTAAGCGATACGCAGTGGAAGAACATTCAAACCTGTCAGAATGCTGCCCTGAGAACTGCGACAGCGTGCCTCCTTATGACGCCAGCGGACCATTTACATGAGGAGGCAATGGTCTTACCGTACATCGTCACAATAGAATGTTGTTGATGCAGTACCTGATTGGGTGTTATCGCAGGAATCATCCATGCCGACATCTTATGGATAGGATTCCCCCACCCAGGCATGTAAGCAGAGACCTACATGATCTAGAGAGAGAGGTCCAACGGTATAAAAGAGAACCCCTAGATCAACAGGCTTATTGCGCAGGAATTACCGCAGGAAGCAGTGACCCAGGCAATGGACCAATACCATGTGAATAGACAAACGAGAGTGCCCTAAAATATAGAATTATGAGGTACCTCTCATTTTCAATACCAAATATAACAGAAGTAGCATTAAGATAACATCAGAATTTCTATCTTCAATATTGCGAGCTATATTTTTTAGAGGAGTGTTGTTGTTGTAGCAGCCCTATTGCTGTTGTCTAAATTTTTGTGTGAACATGTAGTTTGATTAGACGAACAATAATGAAACAAAAAGCCAATTTCGATTTTTTCTGTAGTTACGTCCGTTTGTATTTATGATGACGATATGTGCATACATTTAATTAAAAAAAACAGTTTGGAAGCCAGCGGAGAACGTTACCAAAGTTTTAATATAAATTGGAAATCACAAAAAGCTAAACACAAATTACACTTATAAAAGAAGTAAAGCGAATGTCGAATTCAGAGTTTAAATGTCAATCAAATGACTGTGTTCTTGACACCAAATGTTTCCGAGCTTAATCCCAGTGGGGAAACTTTGACCGTGTGGAACGAATTTCTAGAAATCCACTTTTGTGAAATAAATTGCACGAATGACAACCTGAGGGCATCTATATAGTTTGTGTAGTACTATTCTTTTGTGACAAAAATACAATGAGTGAAATTTTGGGCGCACAATTTACACCACCTACAATTGCAAACGAAAGAAGTTTCATGTGGCAACCTAAAATGAAAGTGAATTGGTTTCAGAGTGGTATGCTTGGTGCTTAATTGCAAGTTTGGCACACATAGTGAATCCTTTATTTTGAATCAATTTGTAATTGTCTTTCCATATTTCATTTTTGAAAGACTGTGTGAAGAAGACGATCATTTAAACATGCAAATGATGTTGCGGAAAGTTATGATTATGGAGACAAAGCATGCGTCAAGGGCGGCAAAGCAGAGTTCCGTGAAATGTTTGAACAAAATAGAATAAAAGAAGCAGCCGTAAATTAAAGCGAGAGGACGCACCTCATCAAAAGTATTGCAGGGAAGGTATTTTGTGTCATATTTAATTATGTACATTTTAATTACATTGTTGGAATTGACAAATTGTAGTAAAATAGAACATAATACCTGAAGAAGCTGTCATCTGAATTAATAGGGCCATTTGTTGTCTTTCAGACATCGGTGTATTCGGATTTGGAGCTCCAATGCTGCGTGGCCTCGGTGGTGGCATTTTATTGTTATTATTAACCAAACGTTTCCAACTGCGCAAAATGATATATACTACGGTAAGTCATTTGGGAACAAAGTAGTTCAAATGAGCGACCAAGCGAAATGAACCACCGGAACGATTTTTAGCATTCGTGATTTAAGCTGCTGGTACACGACATGCATATAACATAGTCACACGAGCAAATTTTATTGAAAGTTTTTCTTCTCAATTTGTTGTTAAAAATTACATTGTTATTTAGACACGCAAATAATGCTTGCGTCAAATTTATAAATTATAGATCTGTTAGCTTGTGTGAAATGTTGGATTGTTTATCTTTAATAAAATCAAATGCTGTGGGTTCTGATGGTTTGACCCTAAAGTTCCTTAAAATCATATTACCGTATATAGGGAATCACGTTTTACATATTATTATGTTATGTTAATCGTGACTGCACCGGATAAAAGTGTTACGGCCGTGGATTCTCAACCCTTAGTCACCTGAGGACACAAGAAGTAATCATACAGACATGAAATATGTACTACAACAACACTTGAAAATGAGTCTAAACAACCAACGTTTTCTTGGAGGATCCGAAATGTCGGTCCTCTTCAAAACCCACCCATCCTTATACTCCTGGACCACCTGGAGCCCACTTTCAGATAGGCACCAACGATCGGTATAGTTATCCCTCAGACATACCCCCTTTCTTCTGTTTTCAGACTTTACTTTGCTATTACAATAGATGAACAACACAAAAAAATATTAAATTATTAATATAGAAATAATCAAAATAATTTAAATGTTTTCCTATTCTATGTTTTATAATTAAATAAAGTGAATTATCAAAATAAATCAAGAGGATCTAGCCTTAGAGCTGATTATTTTGATTTACCCGTACCCAAAATACGAACACCTCACTAGTTTGAGCGCTCCCTAGTTGGAAGTCCTGTGGGTCTAGTAACGATATCTCTACCCTTGGATACATCCCTAACACTGGATTATGAAAAATGCGAAATACTAAAAGAATACTATAATTACTAAATATACAAAAAATAAAAATAATAAATTTATCATTATAACCAAGGTAGATATACAAGGTAGCCGCATCGGCGAATTTCTACAACAAACATCGGTTGTTGTATTTTGATATGTCAAAAATATTTTGCCAAAACAGATTGACAAGATTTTTTTACACAAATTCTAGTAGAAAATATTAATAAAAGTGTTGCAAAAAAAGCTCTTCGAAATCCGGAGATTTTCATTTATAATTTTGTTTTTTAATTTTTTGGTTCAATATTACAACAACATTTTTGACATTTATTTGTCCAACAGCTGGGCCGATGCGGCAACCTTATTAAATATACCTTGATTATAACTTAACTCTAGGACAACACAAAACGTGCCGTAATCTGGGCGCCTTTACTTATGCTACAACTTAGCTTTGGCTCCGATTTCCTTCCACAAATGGTGGATTCTATTTGGGACGTGGATACTTTTCACAGCTGTTCCTGGCCGACACTCAGCGAGTTCCACTCTAATTTCCAGGTACTGTACCGACCAACTGCTATCCGGCACTAAATCTTCAGCGGATACGCTTGTCGGTTAAACTTACGCCGATTTATTTAAAACCTTGGCCAAATTGTAGCAAACTAAATTACAAAAAAAAAAAAACGTTATTAAAAAAAGAACTACACTACGACAATCATATTCCAACTCACTTTCAGCGACTATAATGTATAGTTACGAATATAACTTTAGATTTAAGTTAATTTAGATGAATTCCGTTAATTTAAGAATTTGAATTGTAACGTAAACTTCACAACAACAACTACTGTATAGATTTTTCTACATCCTTCCATTTCCTCTTTCATTTTCTATTTTGTTATTGACGTACAATTCTTGTTAAACGTCATCATTGATGATCGCTTAATTCCTCTTTCTTTGTATGTGTTTGTTGCATTGGAAGATTGTTCGTAATCTAGGTGTTACCAGATCGTCTAGAAACTTCTGTAGCGGCAGGCAAGGCTCATATAAATAGGGGAAATGGAAAGGCAGTTAGTCAGTTGTGAATCAGATCGCGAATTGAAACCGTCGCGTAAAGTAAAGTGCAAAGTAAAGTTGTGTCAATAAAATCATTGTAATACTCGTAATCAGAAAGAACCCGCGTTTTATTTGGTACGAACTGTATTGGGAAATAAAACAACGTCTACACGGGATTAAGTAAAATCCAAGAACGTAACAGTATTGTTACGAATATAACTTTAGAATTAAGTTAATTTAGATGAATTCCGTTAATTTAAGAATTTGAATTGTAACGTAGATTTCTACTACGCAGTTTATTTGAATAACTTCACAACAACAACCACTGTATAGATTTTTCTACATCCTTCCATTTACTTCTGTAATTTTCTCGAGTTTCTCGTTCATTATTCTAGAATTTTATTTAACTTTCTGGAATTCTCTTCGAACATTCGTCTCGTGGTTTCTACTAACTTTCTTGAATTTTCCTCAAACATTTTAGCCAGCATGTCTCTGAAATCGTCAACTCTGGCAGCTACTGACGAGACTTCCCCACCGTTGGATTCGCCCATTTCCGATAAATCCACTTCATCCTTACTGTCAAACTCATATGTATCGATGTTCATACCACGGCGCTCGAACTCATCCAACAGACGTTTTTGTATCTCAGCCTTGTTGCCAGTAGAGGACAATTCCAATTTATTGAGCTCCTTCTTCAAGTCTTCCACTTGTAGATCCTTAGACTTCATCGTAGTATTATCGTAATCTCACTTCTGACACCAATTGTTACGTTCTTGGATTTTACTTAATCCCGTGTAGACGTTGTTTTACTTCCCAATACAGTTCGTACTAAATAAAACGCGGGTTCTTTCTGATTACGATTATTACAATGATTTTATTGACACAACTTTACTTTGCACGTTACGTTACTTGACTGTTTCAATTCGCGATCTGATTCCCAACTGACTACTGCCTCGCCATTTCCCCTATTTATATGAGCCTTGCCAGTCGCTACAGAAGTTTCTACACGATCTGGTAACACCTAGATTACGAACAATCTACCAATGCAACAAACACATACAAACTTACATTGAGTGAACCATAACAACAACACATATACAGGCGAGGGAGTAACAAAGAAAGAGGAATGACATTTAACAAGAATTGTACGTCAATAACAAAATAGACTATGAAAGAGGAAATGGAAGGATGTAGAAAAATCTATACAGTAGTTGTTGTTGTGAAGTTATTCAAATAAACTGCGAGTAGAAATTTACGTTACAATTCAAATTCTTAAATTAATGGAATTCATCTAAATTAACTTAAATCTAAAGTTATATTCGTAACATTGCCCCCCGCTTAAGCCTGTTCGTCCCGAATAGGCACAGTTCCCGTTCCGTAGGGGGTCAGCCGCTCCAAATGTACAACATTCATCTTCGACCTGGGACTGTCGCTCCTCTGGATGCGATAAACGACGTCATTTTTTTCGTGACAATCTTGTAGGGTCCTTCCCAGTGCGTTTGCAATTTGGGGCCGAGTCCTTTTTTCCGTTGTGGATTGAACAATAGTACCAGTTGCCCTTCTTGAAACCCATCGGTATTTGCCGCTCGATCGTACCTTGCCTTCATGCGGTTGCTAACCATTTTTGTTCGATGGCGAACTGCATCGTGGACTTTACTAAAAGAGTTTTGACTGTCTTCATCTTGGTTCACATCGTCGTTTGGGGTAGCACCGAATATCAAATCGCCCGTTGCCGTATGTACTGAGGTTCTCAATGCCGTCTCGATTTTAGATAAATTTATGACCCAGTTAGTGTGGTCATTATCCAAATAAGACCTTATTGCATTAAGTACACACTGATTTACCCTTTCGGCTGCATTAGACTGGGGTGAGTAAAAAGCTGTTTTTAAATGGTTTATTTTGTAACCCTCTAACATTTTTTTGAAGTCCTTTGACACAAATTGCTTGCCATTATCAGTATGTATTATTTCTGGTACCCCAAACTGGTGGAATACATGTTCTACTAAAAATGTAATAACGTTGCTACTGGTTGCTTCCTTCATTTGCTTTAAAAATACAAATTTGGTTAAGTGATCTACAATCACAAGGACGTACGCGTTTCCTTTACCGGACCGGGGGTATTTTCCCAAAAAGTCCACATATATTTTTTGGAAAGGACAGTTATTACCTCGTTTCCAATTTCCGGCATTAAGCGTTGATTCGAGCTCTTACATTCTTTACAGGTTTCGCAGTTCCTTATGTAATTTCGTAAATGTAATTTTAATTAACTCTAAATAATCCTCAGATTCAAATTCCACTGTCTCAAATCCCACTACATCTTCAGGCATAAGGATTTCCTCAACTATTCTTGACAAAGTGTCTGCAACGACATTTTCGGAACCCTTTTTATGTTTAATCTGGAAGTCACACATTTGTAATTGGAGTGCCAACCTCGCCAATCTGCCGTTTAGATCTCTTAGAGACATCAGCCACTTAAGACTTGCGTGGTCTGTGATGACCGTAAAGGGCATCAGTTCCACGTACGGCCTAAATCGCTGTACCGCCAATACGGCCGCCAAACATTCTTTCTCAGTAACACTATAGTTCATCTGAGCACTATTTAACTTCTGCTATAGGCCTTTCGTTTCCCTCGCTGTCAATCTGAAACAGCACCGCCCCGATTCCTACACTGGACGCATCACATTGAATGTAAAAGCGTTTTTTGAAATCCGGGTGCACCAGCACTGGTGCGTGAGTCAGGGCATGTTTAATCTTGTCGAAAGCAACGAAAGCCTCCTCGTCTATAGCAAACTGGCGACCCTTTTTAATTAAGTTTGTTAGTGGTGCCGTTAATTCGGAGAAGTTTTTGATAAACCGCCGGTACCACCCAGCGACACCTATAAAGCTACGCACTTCTCTGACATTTTTTGGTAACGAGATCTTACGAATCGCATCCACTTTATTCGGATCGGGTCTCAGTATTCCGACTTGACTTGAGCATTCCTCGATTACCCCTAACCTTAACATTTCATCCACTTCGGCGTATATAAGTTCTTGTACGGCTGGGGAAACGGGGTAGTACCGTTCCTTAACTGGCTGAGAATTCTCTACCAGTTCAATGGTGTGCTTTTCCAAACTAGTCCTGCAAGGCCGTGCTCTTCATAAGACTTGAATGATTTTTTAACTTGTTGTAACCGTTTTTGCATCTCATCTGATAGTTCATGTTCCGTATTTTCTTTTATTTGTGCTGGGTTATCTTCCAATATTTCCTGACATATTTCATATACTCCGAAAATGGTAGGAGCGAGCTGAAATGTTTTGAAAAAATCTACTCATAAGTATGCAGCTTGAATTAAGTCGGGGCACAGGTAGATAATCTCTCGTTTTATATTGTTATATTCTATCCGTACTTTAATCTTGCCAACGACTGAAAAATTATTGCCTCCTGCTGTCCCAATAGAGGTACAGAAGGGTTCAACCTCCATCTGTATCTGAGCCAATATTTTATCACAATCTTTTCCCAGAATACTAACCGAAGCACCTGAGTCTAACAGGCCTTTCATATTTGTTCCTTTTAAGTTGAAATTAATATAAGCTCTATTATCGGAAGAATCTAATACTACAGAACAACAACTTACAACTGACCGCTGAACTAATTTACATAACTTTTTTTAATTTGAACTTATTTCTTACTCTCTTAATTCTATTCGATTTGTTATTTCTGTACTCGTTTACACCTTCAACCACATTTTCGAACAACTTACATGATTTTCATTATTCTTAACAAAACTATTACTCTTTTCCTTGTTCCAATCATCCTCATTACTAATTAATTTTCTACTTTCATTCTTGGCCTTTTTATCCTCGGAAATTTCCTTTTCTTCCCTACAACTATTTCCATTATCAAAAATCCTTTTCCGAATCCTATTATAATATTCCACTCTTTGCTCATAACTAAGTTTGCTGACTGGGTTGGCCTTTCTCACAACCTCTTTACTTGGTACTCTATCTCTTTTCAGAATTTTTATATCACCTGTGACCATAATCTTCTTTGAATCATCTGACACTAATCGGGAGTTGGAGCAGAGTGTGTCTCTCCCGATTTCAACACACCCTTATGGCCATTTCCCAAACACTTCGGGCAATTGGGACATGTAACCCCTGAGCAGCTGCACCTATAGCAGAATAAGTTCCGTTGCGGGATTGGGCAATCAAAAAACGAATGTCCCGACGCCTGACAATTCCAACACGTAAGTTTAATTTGTCTTCTTTCAATCGATTTATTATGACTTACTTCTTCCACTACCATTAGGTCGTTATCTATTGGATTTTCTGTTGTCGTTTCGAGAAATACTTCATTGACGGGATACAGTCGACGAGTTGGTTGTGATGGTCTTGCTTGTGGTAGTGAGTATTTATCCTTTCTCAAATAATCCTTTTCTAGTTCTTTACACTCATCCCTCAATTGGTCAATCGTATATGTCTTCATTGAATATATAATGTGGGAAAGTTCCGGACGTAAATTTCTCTTGACTATTCTAATCATATCAGATTCTGGCAATGGGGTTCTTAATTTGGCTCTTAGCTTTTTCATCGTGTGAAAAAAATCATCTATGGATTCCCCACTTCGCTGTTTTCTCTCCTCAAGATCTCGTAGACACTCATAGTCGCTTCTATTTGACCTATATTGATGGATCAGAGCTTCCTTAAGATCTGTCCAATGGTTTATTTGCTGGTTCCCAATCAACACCCAAAACCATTCCTTAGCGTCCCCTTTAAGAAGAAGCTGGAAGTCCCGAATGACTTCACTCCACGGACAGCCATACATACGTTGAAGATGTTCAATTCTGAAGACAAAATCTTCTACATCTAAACCATCATGTTTTCCATCAAAACAAATGTTCCACTTGTCTACTACAATATGGTGCCTATTGCTGGTCGAAGAGGTCATTTCTGGCAATCCCATAGGCACATGAAGATTACTTTCTCTTTGAGTTGCTTCATTAATTTTATGATCAAAATCCAATCTTCTATGAGCTGTATTTTCTGTAATCGATCAGGTTTTGGTCGGGGCTCTATTCAGTTGATCTTGTTCTTCCGTTAAACCATATTGTCGGTGGAGGTTGGGAAAAATCAACCAACGGACTGTTGGCCACAGCCGGGTTGTTATCAGTGGACTGCCTTTGGTGATTTTAAACGAGCCTGAAAACCCTGGTTGTTCCGTTAGATTGCTCACAACACTAGGGGGTGGAGATCGCTCCATTGGCATTTTGTTGATTATTATAACTGATAAACACTAAACATAAACTCTGATATAGAAATTTGTCGAAATATCAAAAAAAAAATAAATATATATGAATTTACGCAATACGGAAATCATACACAATATTGGATATATGAGCACAAACTAAACAATTTCTATTTAGGAAAGTTGTAAAAGACATTATTCCGGGGACATGTCCTATACCGTTGGTGCCTCAACGTTGGTTATTTATTCTCATTTTATATTACACATAATATACATTCATCCGAACATCCAACATTCAGAATTGCTCGGGATTCGGTTTACTTCTTTTGTGGACATAAATCGACCGATATTGCAATTTAAATCTAAATCAGGCATCGATTTATCTCCAGGGATCATTATAGTTAATAGCTTTTGTAATCAACATGAAGAAAACAGTTATGAGAACATCCATAAGATTTTGCTTCATGCTACCTCATCAATGCTTTATATTTTGACGGTTATTACTAAAGCTACTTTTAGCTATTTCAACGCCAAAGTTACCGGGTAACTCTTAGCTCTGGAAGATGTTTTCATTGGGCGCCATTACTGTTATGTTACCCCCTTTTTAATCGTGACTGCACCGGCTAAAAGTTTTACGGGCCGTGGTTTCTCAACCCTTGGTCACCTGAGGACACAACAAGTAAACATACAGACATGAAATATGTACTACAACAACACTTGAAAATGAGTCTAAACAACCAACGTTTCCTTATACTCCTGGACCACCTGGAGCCCACTTTCAGATAGGCACCAACGATCGGTATAGTTATCCCTCAGACATACCCCCTTTTCCTTTACATCCTTCCTTATAAGTGACTTTAACACAACATCTTTCAACTAATTACCATTTATTACTTAAATAATTCTTACACTAATACTTTTCAAATCATCCTCCTTTCTTCTGTTTTCAGACTTTACTTTGCTATTACAACAGATGAACAATACAAAAAAATATTAAAGGAAATAATATAGAAATAATCAAAATAATTTAAATGTTTTCCTATTCTATGTTTTATAATTAAATAAAGAGAATTGTCAAAATAAATCAAGAGGATCTAGCCTTGGAGCTGATTATTTTGATTTACCCGTACCCAAAATACGAACCCCTCACTAGTTTGAGCTCTCCCTAGTTGGAAGTCCTGTGGGTCTAATAACGATATTTCTACCGTTGGATAAATCCCTAACACTGGATTATGAAAAATGCGAAATACTAAAAGAATACTTTAATTACTAAATATACAAAAAATAAAAATAATAAATTTATCATTATAACTTAACTCTAGGACAACACAAACACAAAACTCGCCGTAATCTGGGCGCCTTAACTTATGCTACAACTTAGCTTTGGCTCCGATTTCCTTCCACAAATAGTGGATTCTATTTGGGACGTGGATACTCTTCACAGATGTTCCCTGGCCGACTCTCAGCGAGTTTCACTCTAATTGCCAGGTACTGTACCGACCAATTGCTATCCGGCACTAAATCTTTAGCGGATACGCTTGTCGGTTAAACTTACGCCGATTTATTTAAAACCTTGGCCAAATTGTAGCAAACTAAATTACAAAAAAAAACGTTATTAAAAAAGGAACTACACTACGACAATCATATTCCAACTCACTTTCAGCGGCTATAATGTATGTTCCCGTATCAATATTTTTTTATTATATAAAAATTTGAACACTTTTCATTATTCAGTTATTTCTTATAGTTGTTTTGTTATTCTTTCTGATTTTTTCTTTATTAGATATTCCTTATAACTTATAAGGCGTAATAATACAACATTTTTAAAATGCTTTGTAAAAAATTTTAACAATCACTAATAATAAAAAGTAATGCACTATCAACAATGTTTTGCTCGGTTACTTTCTTTGATGAAATGATCTCATTAACATACGAATTACTTTCGTCTTGTCATATTTGCTGCTAACTTGCCGAGCACTCAATACTCTACATACAGGTTTCTATTTGTTCTCATGTACCTCTTAACAGTATCTCTCTTCTACCAACAAAATAGCCATGCTTGAACAACGGTCTAGGTTCAACGCTCGCCTGACCTTCAAATCTACCTTTAGACGCTCACTTTATGCGCGCGTACATTCTCTTAGTTTACGCTCTTACATACAACCCTGTTTTAACGGCGGCACTAACCCAGCCCTGAACTCTAACACATATACGTTCCACACGAACAGCTGTTTTCATACCACCACTTGGTACTGGTGGTATCTACACGTTTTCATAAGCTGGAAAAAGAAAACTACACAAAATAAGCAAAGAACGATATAAAACATATATAAAGAAACTAATTTCGCAGAGGAGTCTATTGAGTGATGCAGCGAATATATATTTATTCTTTCTTGGGGATAATTGCATGATTACTCTCACAATTACATCCTCGCTACGGACAACCCTTTGAACCCCATATACAAAATCCTACGAGGGTGTCCTACTGACAATGCATCCCGTACCAGACTCCAACCATGATTTTAGTATATTATACGCCAACGTTTATATCTCACCATCGCTAACTGAGAGTAATACCAGCACTACAGCCCGTCACGGGGATGATGGAAATAGCACCGGGCGGAGACGGAATTCTCCCCCCAGCACCGGAAATAGCACCGGGCGGAGAGGGAATTCTCCCCCCAGCAAACACGGTTTCCTACGGTTCAATTATTTTAGGTATGCCAATAAAATGAAGCAAATGTATGGTCTTTGGTGTACTATTTGTGCCCACAGACGAAACTATGTATGTAATCTACTATCTCCCCTTTTATGCAAATATATTTACCCGGCCATATTACACTATATAACTTTGTGTCCTATTTATAATGGACAGACGGACGGACTCAGGTGGGATCAGCTTGACAATTTTCGGACCCATCCCTCAACAATTAATAATAATAATGACATCGTCATTTCCTTCCTTGTGGGAAATAGCTAAAGTGATTCCTATTCGAAAGTCTGATGCTGCTAATGACTTTCGACCCATTTCGATAATGCCTATACTTTCAAAAATGGCGGAACATATATTAAAGAAACAGATTTTAGACCACATATCCTTCCCATCTTTACTTCATGATTCGCAATCTGGATTCAGGATTGATCACGAACTGCTAGTCTTTAAGCTTTGTAATTATTTTGAATTTTCTATTACATCATGTGCTTTAATTAAATCGTATCTTAGATATAGGTATCAGTACGTTTTCGCTAGTGGGAATCGTTCGAGCTTGTTGCCCGTTATAAGTAGCGTTCCTCAAGGATCCGTTCTTGGTCCGTTGTTGTTCATTTTGTTTATAAATAATTTTTTTGTTGCAATAGCTTCTGATAATTGTCTTCCTTTTGCCTTTGCTGATGACGTTCAGTTGTTGATGAAGAGTGATGCTGCTTTCCCGGATGTGTTGCAAAGTGTTGTAAATCATGTCTGTTTAACAGTGGCAGATTGGATGAAGAAAAATAGATTGTCTATTAATGTAAATAAGACCAAAGCTATGTCTTTTGGCGTATGTGTTGCTTCTGGTATAGAGGTTAAATATAATAGCGCACATATTGAATTTGTTGATTGTAAAAGTGTCTTCGAGTTCTTGTGGATAGTGGGCTTACTTTTAAGGCTCATATTAACTCATTAGTGTCAAAAGTTAACTTTATGTTAAGGAAACTTTATAGCACAGAGCTATGTCTTTCAATTGATACCAAAAAATATGTCGTAAAAGCCTTGATTATGCCGATAATCTTGTACTGTTTAGAAGTCTTTTCAGGAACATTTGGATATGTTCTTAAAAAGGTTCAAGTTGTATTTAATAGAGTGGTAAGGTTTGTTTATTCACTAAAAAGTTGGCAGCATGTTATTGATTTTTTGGGTTGCAAATTTTATGATTTTATTAAACTGAGAATGTTCCTCCTTTTTTACAAATGTTTCAAGAAACAGGTGCCGCTGTTCTTTGTAAATCTATTTATTTTTACAAGATCGCAAAGAAATCCTCAAATTCGAATTCCCTTACTAACTTCTTTAGAACGATCGTTCCTTGTCCGAGTTGCTCGAGTATATAACATATTAACAGTAACCTTAAAAACATTCAACAATTCATTAGCTTGGTTTAAAAGTAAAATGTTAGAGTATTTTATTTCCAATTACTCATGATTATATCGAGTTAATTAAATTTTACAAATTATTATTGCCCAATATTGGTCACTTATTTATTTTTTTTAATCAACGAAGAATTTATAAATCATTACGTTGTATATATATATAAATTGGAGTAGTTCAAATTCAATTTTTTAATATACGTGTGTGTGTTTAATTTTTTTAT